AAGGTGTACCCCTCCCCCGTTTCCTGTCCCATTGTTCTCCAGCAGGGCATTGTCCCAGGCACACTGCCAGACTACTTGGAACTGCTTTGGGCTGGAAAGCCATGCTTCAGTGGGCCTAAAGGGACCTCCACAAACTTTAAACCCCCATAACTCCTGAACCCCTGATCTGATCTGGGTGATTTTTGGATATGTGTCTCACCAAGATCAAGGCTACCAGGGGATGTAATATTTAAAGGGGTACTCCTAGGTTTAGGGGTACATCCAGAAAACCAGGGGAACTGTGTCCTGCATAATGGGATTATGTGTCACACTAAGGGGAGGGGATGTGTGAGTGGCAACTCGTGTATGATTGGTGTATTGTGTAATTACTGTAAATCCCTCCCTTGCATGGGAGAATGCTTTAAAAGAAGGTTGTGTGATTAAAAGTTCAGTTCTACACCTGATACTGTGTGTCGCCCAGTGATTGGGGAAAGTGATGGGATATTATTGGATTGTATTGCTGATTGTGCTGGATATTCTCTTGGATTTATTACTTGTTCCTGCATCCTGTTAAAGTACTTGGTGGAGTTAAGCTGTGGGAAATCAGCTCTCCGCTACAGGTACAATCATACGAACCGCAAGCAGGGGAATGCTGTAAACTCACGAACGGGATCCGTACGGGCACTTCACTTCATGAGCTCCAAACTCACGAATCGCCAATAGTAGCCGAATGCATATATCTCCCAAGCGGCTAATAATTCCATCCAGCAGTCTCTAGTCGTCGGTAATAAATCCCCCCAATAACGAGACCAAGCTCCACATTGAAGGTAAAACAAGAACTGGCTTTACTGTGGGCTACCTGCCCGTATTTATGCAGGTCTCCCACTTGGTGGACACTCCCCTAGGGGACCAAATGGGAGACTGTAACAATAGACAGACATATGGCAGGTTAGGACCCACAGACACAGAATATTCCCAGCATGCATTAGTTTTTCCTCCCCTCTGCCCTGGAGATAATTGAGAAGTAATTCAATTATCTCCAGGACAGAGGCAAATCACCATTTTAAATTCAACACAGAAAAACAAATAAAAATATATAACTTTACATTTGTCGAATGTTACCCATTCATATCACATATCCCCAGATAGCCTGGATCTGAGTGCATATTATTGGCGAATAGCACTCAAATCCCATACGTATAGTTCGATCGCCATGGAGTCAAAGTCTATTACAGTGTTTCGTTATGCGATTGACTCCATGGGAAGGCTATCTGGGTTAAGTCCATTCGTGCGTTTAAAACTCCCGAACGGCCGGTGTTCGTATACTTCTGTCGATTGAGAAGGGAGGTCGGCGGCTTCAGCGGTGTTCGGCAGAAAAAGTGTCCGTTTTCAGTTCCATGAAATCAATGCCGAACACCGCTGGTCTTTCGCATGGTTTAAAATGGCAGCCGCCTTGTGGTTGACATATGAACGACGACCACAGTGTATTCGGTTTTAATTGAGAAGTGTCTGCGGTTAACCACAACATTCTAATTGGGATCAAGACGTTAACCAGCAGCACACTTCTCTTCTGGGTGGCCGTCCGTTCGGTAGTTTGTTCGGCAAAAAATGTCCATTATACGAACAGAGGCATACGAATGAGTATTTCCACGAAAACGGCAAAACAGACGAACCAGCAATCCCAGGTTATACAGATGGATCTGTCACAGCGGCCATGTTTTCTGTCAGTTAATAGTGGGACCTGGCTCTAAAACCCATGGAGCGAGAACCAGTTAAACAGTTGCACGAATACCGCTCCGTGGATGGTTGTCCCAGCCCTTCGTGAACCGAAGTAGACCACCCTGAAGGGGGTAATTAGCCTGCGGTTAGCCGCAGCCTCAACACCGGAGTGACCGCAGCCTCATTCGGGAGTTTGGGTACGGAGTATTATTAAACGAACGAGGACACCCTGTGGCAGTCAATTAAGTTTGTGGTTAACAGCAGACTGCAGCTTCCAGGTGGTCGTACGGTCAGTTTTTTCAAAGGTGAAAAAGGTTAAGTGACGGCACATGCCAAGGGCTGGGTGGTCTTTGTATGCACGAATATATAATCCTGGTTGTTCGTGTAATCCGTTCGTATGGACTGAATGCCGGTAAAAAAGAGTTTTAACGAAAAGAGGCAGAGTGTAACAATATAACGAGTCCCTGTAACAATGCTCCCTCCTTGTGGAACACTCTGGCAGACACTGTCTGACCTCTTTTCAGGGCAGACTAAGGCTGTCCAGGCTGAGGCGTTATGCTGGACTTAGGTCGGTTTCCCATGATAACCCGTCGGCATTGCCATTCTGTTTCCCGGGTCGGTAGGTGATAATAAAATTAAACGGTTGCAAAGATAAGCTCCAGCGTAACAGTCGGCCATTATCCCCAGCAACCCGGTTCAGCCATACCAACGGATTATGGTATGTAACTAGAGTGAACTCTTGTCCATACAAGTAGGGGGTTAATTTATTTAGTGCCTACACCAGGGCCAAACACTGCTTTTCCACTGCGGCATAGCTGACTTCTCGTGGCAGGAGTTTTCGGCTGATGTAGGCAATCGGGTGCTGTTTCCCATCGTCTCCTACTTGGCTGAGGACGGCTCCCAGCCCGAACATGGAAGCGTCTGTATGAACAATAAAACGTCGATTAGGGGCTGGGGCAGCCAAGACAGGAGCATTACTTAGAGCAGTTTTTAGCGTTTGAAAAGCCGTTTCACAGTGGGGAGACCACAGGACCTGTCGAGGAAGGTTTTTCTTCGTTAAGTCAGTCAGGGGTTTGGCAATAGCGCTATAGTCTGGCACGAACCTTCTGTAGTACCCAGCCATGCCCAGGAAGGCAAGATGACATTTCTCTGGTTTCAGAGTCAGGCCAACGACCCGAATCTGATCCAGGACCATTCCTACATGGGCTAAGTGTTCCTCCCAGGACTCACTATGGATTGCTATGTCATCCAGGTATGCACAGGCAAAATCCTGGAAGCCATCAAGGAGTCTATCCACCAAGCGTTGGAATGTGGCGGGGGCATTCTTCATCCCGAATGGCATAACCTTAAAGTGGTATAAGCCGAAGGGGGTGACGAATGCCGACTTAGGGATAGCTTCTCTGGCCAGGGGGATTTGCCAGTAACCTTTACAGAGGTCAATGGTAGTTAGGTAGTTCCCCCTGGCTATGCGGTCCAGCAGCTCATCTACCCTGGGCATGGGGTATGTGTCGGTCATGGTTTTATCATTGAGCTTCCGGTAGTCCACACAGAATCTGGTAGTACCATCTTTCTTGGGTACCAGTACTACCGGGAACGCCCAAGGACTATCGGAGGATTCAATGACCCCTAGCTTAAGCATCTCAGTTATCTCCTTTTTTATCCCTGCCCGGACCGCCTCGGGGATCCGGTAGGGGGCCTGTCTTAAAGGTTGCTGTCCTGGGGTGTCTACTTGGTGGGTGGCTAAGTCGGTGTACCCTGGTTCCTGTGAGAACATTGCCTGTTTCTCTTGGAGTAGTTTGTGTAACTGCTCCCTCTCCACTGGGTTAAGTCAGTCCCCTATCTGTACTTGGTTCACTATATCAGACGGGGAATTCTGGGTTAATAAGTCGGGTATGGGAAGACTATCAGGGTCTTCGGATGCAGGGCTATATATGGCTGACACATCCTCTGGTCGCTGAAGATTTTCTTTCACCATATTCACGTGGATTATCTTTCTTAGGTTCTCATCGTGACAGCTGGCAATCACATAAGTAGTGTCCCCTCGTTTCTCCACTACCTGGTAAGGTCCCTGCCAGGCTGCTTGCAACTTGTCTGCTTTAACAGGCTTGAGCACCATAACTTTTTGTCCTGTACAAAAACTCCTCCGACTTGCCCCCCTGTCATACCAGACTTTCTGTCGCTTCTGGGCCACCTGGAGATTAGCCTGGAACGACCTGGCTAGTTGCTCCATGCGGTCCCTAAGCTCCAGTACATAAGGTATGATGGGGACTCCAGCGTTCTCCGTCTCTCCTTCCCAGTGCTCACGGATCAGGTTTAGGGGGCCCCGCACCTTTTGTCCGTATAGCCGTTCGAACGGAGATAATCCGGTTGTTTCCTGGGGCACCTCCCGGTAAGCGAACAGGAGATGCGGCAGGAAATGTTCCCAGTCTCTATATTCCTGGGTGAAGGTTTTTAACATTTGTTTGAGGGTTCTATTGAACCTCTCACATAGCCCGTTAGTCTGGGGATGATACGGGGAGCTGAGTAAGGATTTTATTTTGCAGACATGCCATAGTTGCTGCGTTACTTCAGCCATGAACCGAGTACCTCTGTCGGATAGAATCTCCCCAGGGAATCCTACCTGAGAGAAGACCTGTACTAAGGCATTAGCTACGGTGTCTGCCTGGATATTGGATAGAGCAACTGCCTCTGGGTAGCGTGTAGCGTAGTCCACCACGGTAAGAATATATTTCTTTCCGGATGGACTGGGGGTGGCGAGTGGCCCTACTAGGTCAATGGCTACCCGGCTAAAGGGTTCCTCTATAATGGCCATGTTCACAAGGTGTGCCTTACGGTGATCTCCTCTCCAGCCCACCCTTTGGCAGTCCTCACACGTGTTACAGTATGTTCACACATCGACATGTACCCCTGGCCAGAAGAGTGTATGGGTGATACGTTTGAGGGTACGGGTTACTGCTAAATGTCCGGCTAATGGGATATCATGACCCACCCAGAGTATAGCTCATCTATACTTGTGGAGAATGACCAGCTGTTTCCTATGGTTCCCTTTCTTTTTGGTATGTCTGTACAGTCTGCCTTGCTCCCATGCGAACGTCTCCTGGTCTGATCCCCCAGTTCCCGTATCGGCTCTCTCCCTATACTTCCGAAGGGTCGGGTCAGTTTTAGTTTCAGCCTCACAGGCTGCAGGGGTATCCCAGGGTAACGGGGAAGGGTCATTGGTCACAGTCGGGGTTGACCTGGGACCCATGACGTCTGCTTATGCTCCTTCCTACAACTCGGAGGCACATCCTGTCACTACCCGGTCGCAAGCAGGAAGGACTCGAGACCCTTCACCAGTGCGGGAGACTCAGGCACTGGTGAAGAGTCTCGAGTCCTTCCTGCTTGCGACCGGGTAGTGACAGGATGCGCCTCCGAGTTGTAGGAAGGAGCATAAGCAGACGTCATGGGTCCCAGGTCATTTCCCAGTAAAACCTCAGCTGGCAGATTATCCATAACTCCCACCCTTACTAGTCCTTTCCCCGCACCCCAATCCAAATGTACTTGAGTAGTTTGTGAATGTCCCCCCCCAGCCACCCTGACGGCGACAGTGTCCGTAGAGCGCTTATATGCTGGGACCAGTCGGCCTTGTACTAGGGTGATAGAGGTCCCTGTGTCTCTCAACCCCTGAGCGGGGCGGCCTTCCAGCAATACCTCCTGTCTGTGATGTTGCTGGTTGTCATTCGCGGCATATACGGGGTTGGCTTCATGTAAGGGTCCCAGATATTCTTCTAGGGGGCTTTCTTGTTCAATACAGAAAGCGCGAGCTGGGCAATTATTTCCCGAGGGGGAGGCATTGTAATTCCTTGATGAGTAATTGTTGTTGAGGGGACAGCTAGCAATAATATGCCCCAGCTGCTTGCATTTGTAGCAGGTGGGGCAGGAGCGCTCTTGGTTGTAATGGCTGGGTGGCCCGGCGTACCGGGTCGTTCCTGCCGGCAAAGGCGTACGAAACTCCGTTCGTGGGTTTGGTCGGTACTTATCCCTTGGTTCGGTGCGGGTTCCTGTTCGGGAGTTGTTAAATTCCTGTATCCGAGCGTCCCGGTGTTCATCAGCCAGTCTCACTGCTTCGTTGAGATCGCTCGGCCGTCGGTCTTTTAGCCACTCTATGTCTTTTTGCTCAAGCCCCTCATAAAAATGTTCCAATAAAAACAATTCCAAGACTTCGGCTGCTGTGACTGCTCGACACCCGTTCATCCAATGAGTAGCAGCTCTCCGCAAATGGTGTGCCCATTCAGCATGGGTATCATTCATTTTCTTTTTGGTGTCGCGGAATTGCCTACGGTAAGTGTCGGGAGATACCGCGTACTGTTTCAAAAGGGTGTCTTTGACAAGCGGGTACTGCACCACTTTCTCTGTGCTAAGAGTCCTGAAAGCCTCCATTGCTCGCCTGGCTAATTTCCCTGCCAGGATACGTGGCCAAGCTGTTGTGGGGATTTGATGCAGGGCTCATTGCCACTCAAAATCGGTTAAAAATTTGTCAATCCCATCTCGTTCTCCACGAACGGCTTGAATGCCGCGAACGGGATCTTCGGTTGTCCTGCCAATTCCGTTGTGTTGCTGTGTGCGTTGATGGTGGTTCCAGGTGACACGGGCCTCACGCTGCGCTCATGGGCTCGGGTTCTTTCGATATCCTCCTCAGCTTCCGCCATCAACTCTTTCACTAGTTCCATGGAAGGGTTCGGCCCGTACAGGGGGAGCCTTTCCATGACAATCCTTGTTTTTTCATCGCTGGGTAGTATCGTGGGTTCTACCATGGTGATACTCTGATCCATCCATTAAGTCAGCAATCAACTCTCTCGTCGCTCACGCTCCCACCTCATCTCTCGAGTAAATCTTTCAACGTGGTGCGCTTCAGCTTATCGTAATTGCTCTCCATCCGTTCCGTACCTCTCTTAGGAATTCCAGGATGATCCCGCCGCTGCCACCAATTGTTACGATTGCCTCCGGTCTAGCAGGAGGTTGGATCGCTTGGATGTCCTGGTTCCCGAAATCAGAGAGTCGAAGAGGTTCCAATAGGTAGAACAAGAAGAGCACTCTAGGGGATAGTGCATGGATACCAGGAGCTGACTTGTGAAAATAACTTAAAATCTGACTAATAAATAAAATGAGTAATATGCAAAAAGGTGTAAAATAAGAATGTGTAAAATGCTGGGTACTGTGCCTTTAAGAGCTGCAAAACAAAACAGAAGTGAAGGTATAAATGCTAGGTGACATATAAATGCAGTGAATATGTGCCAAACTAAAAACTAAAAGACGTGCCCATAAAAATGTATGGAGACAGTATGTGTCAAAAAGATGAAGGAAAAAAAAATATATATCTATCTATATATGGTGTGCACGGTGAATAGCACTTCCACTGGATGATGAACGAGATATAAATAGAAGTAACAGTGTTGCAAATAATAATAGCAAAAAGGCAACAAAGTGACTGGGACGGTGTATTGAAGCAGTCAATCAATTGCCCTAGAAGGAGAAATAAACGAACACGTAGACCAAATCCAACAGAAGAGAAAGAAGTGAGTGTCTTCAACCTATCTAACAGGATTTTAGATCAGGATGAAACATCCCTTCTGAGAAAAGATCTAAAATTTGCCCCTCTACAAATTCAGACTTCAATGTCTATATAGACCTACACAAATTCATACGAAAAGTTTCTATTAAGAAGTTCTTTATGGACAAGGATCCAATACAACAAGCGACAGAACAAAATTATGTCCAAACTGAATTACATCCTACCTCAACTTTCTATCCACAACATGTTAAAAGTGACTCCATCAAAGTATTTGAGAAAATGGTAGAAAAAGACTTCAGAAACAAAATTACCAGTAAGATCACTAAGGATAACTTGACAAGAAAGGAGAGAAGTTCATTGAAACAACTTATAAAATCAGAGGACATTACAATTAAAGCAGCGGACAAGGGAGGCGGACTAGTCATTTACCGAGGATTATAAGGAAGAAAATCAGAGACTTCTGGGAGACATCTGCACTTATCTAAAATTAGACAACGATCCCACTATTCAATACCAAGACGAACTAAAAGAGATATTAAACTATGGGAAAGAAAGAGGAATCATTAACGAAAGGGAGTTCAAATATCTTCTCAACAAATTTCCAAAGATTCCGGTGTTTTATCACCTTCCTAAAATTCATAAGAAATTAGTGAAACCTCCCGGATTGGGTCCCTTACAGCTAATCTCTCGGAATATGTTGACCATTATTTACATAAACTAGTCCTCTGTCTTAAATCCTATTTAAGATACTCCACTCAGATTTTAAACATACTATCAACTTTTAATTGGGAAGAAGACATGTTTTTAGTTACCGCTGACATTACCTCACTTTACACTGTCATTGAACATCTCCAAGGATGTGAGGCAATACAATATTCTTTGGCAACATACTCAGAACTTAAGAATGATCAAATTGATTTTTTTAATCGAATGTATTGCTTTTATCCTTACCCATAATTATTTTTGGTGTGACGGTCAATTTTACTTATAGATAGAGGGCACGGCCATGGGGACATGTTTTGCGCCAAGCTACACAAATTTATTTATGGGAAAATGGGAAGAGGCAAATCTGTCCTTATGGCGCAGATATATAGACGATTGCTTTTTTATATGGAAAGGAGACTTGGAATCACTAGATAAATTCATGATCTATCTCAACGATCATCCATACCATCTTACATTCACTTTTAATTATTCCAGAGAACAAATTGAGTTCTTGGATCTTTAATATTTTTATTGAAGAAGGAAGTATTCATACAAAAACTTTTAAAAAAAGCGTCGATTGTAATAGTTTTATTCCTTTTAATAGCCATCACAAACCAACATGGCTACGTAATATACCGCAGAACCAATTTAGGAGAGTGAGAAGGAATTGTTCAAAAATGGATATCTGCATGGAACAGATGGAGGAAATGAAAGGAAGATTTATGGATAAAGGATATCCCATCAACTTGTTACAAGAAGCCATGAACAAGACATTGGCTTTACCAAGGGAAGACACTCTTCGCATTAAAACCAAGACTCTGGAACCATACAATTCTACACCAGCTTTTATCATGAAATATAACCATCAATCTCACACAATACAAAAAATTCTGAAGAAGCATTGGGGAATCCTTATGAATGACCCGACACTCTCAAGAATTCTGGACAATAGACCCCAGATCATATTCACCAAGGCCCCCAATCTCCAATTGATGCTGGCACCCACTACCAAATCCTCCAGCCACACCACTGATAAAGAATCCACCCATGGCTTTAAACGGTGTAAAAAATGCATAGCATGCAGAAATAATCCTTCTCTGGAAACAACAACTGTAAGATTCACAGCATTGAATAACAAGGAAGAATACGACATTAAAAACAACATGAGCTGTAACACTTCAGGAGTCATCTACCTCATTACATGCCCATGTCCAAAACAATATGTGGGTCGTACAAAAAGACCATTGAAGATACGGATCGCGGAACATATTAGAAATATTAAAAAAGGATTTTTAACTCATAACCTTTCAAAGCATTTTAAGGAGATCCATGGGGGAGACCCTTCGGGTCTTAGATTTTTACCCATAGAAAAAGTGGATGTACATTGGCGAGGAGGCAACATAGAAAGAAACCTTGACCAAAAAGAAGCTAAGTGGATTTTTCAACTGGACACTTTGGCCCCCAAGCGATTAAATATAGACTTTGAACGCAACGCATTCCTTTAATGATTTTTTTATCTATCTATTTTTATCCATTATTTTTTTACACTCCTCTTTATATTATATTTTTCCTCTATTTAGATATACTCTTGCTAATTTTGTAATTTTGTAACATTTTTTTCTTTTTTTATATATATTTTATATATTTTTATAATTAGTGTCATCTTCTATCTCATATATTTAGAAACTATGCTCCACTTTTAACAACATACTTCCAGTTTTTAGATTTATTATTTCATTCACATAAACTTTGGCATTTGAGAAGAAATTTTATAAACTTTATAAATTTTATATATATATCCTTCGATGGATATTTTCTGTTAAACATATTTTTTGATATAATAATTTTTCGATATATCTTCTGATGGATTTTTCCTTTGATGAACATACTAATGTTTGTGCTCTCTCCTAGAACGGACCACCAGCTAAATCATCAAGCCATAATAGTAATTAAATCATCAATCCATAAAAATAATTTCAATGATCATTTATCTACTTTTATCTAAGTTTGACATCTAGTATCTAACTATATGTTAGTCCATGTATAAATGTAACATTTCTAGGATGTGAACATTTTTAATATATGATATTTTATCTGATATTTTTTATTGAGTTTGATCACTTTAAGAAGT